GCCTCGCGATTCACAAGCCGAATCGAGGATGAAGCTCAAATTCCAACTTGCGTATAGATCACGTCATTCTTCATTCTGCTGAATCGGGAGGCTGACTTGCACAGTTACCGCGTAGCTTGCGATACCTGGCAATTCTGGACTGCGGTCCAGTGTGCCAGCTGCCAAGTGTACCAGATTTGGACATCGACGAACCAAAGTCGCGCTGTCTGCGTGACCGACTGATCGAACCTTTTCCAGAAAGGGCAGCATCAAAACGTCTGACATGCAGCGGTACGGCACGAATGAGCTTCTCTTCAGATCTAAGGAGGTAGTCGATAGCTTCGAAGCATCACGAATCATCAATCAATGGCCAAAGTCACAATCCTGCTCCAAGCGGCTGGCGTCACGGAACCGCGCCCTTCCACACCCGACAATTCTGACACACCTTCCCAAATGCCTACAGACACGCGACACAACAGCGACGAGGAGTCTGCGTGCGATTGCGAAAGACGAGCAATCTCCGCAGCGTTCCATTGCGAGCCTTGCAGGTCTGATGGACAATCCATGTTCGAGAAGCTAAAAATCGATGCAGATGTTGGACAAAGTCGCGGCGACCCGCGGAACCGACTGGACTAGGGAGTGCCACTCCTCTCAATGTCCGCTCATGCGTAGGTTCCCTTAGTCCTAGGGCCAGAGACGCGGACAAAGATGCGGAAGAGGCTAGCAAAAATGGAACACGTGCGCGCGCGAAGTCAGCATGGCGACGATACGACTGAGAAAAAGAATGGTTAAGCATCGCCGCCGGCAGCTTGGGCTCACCTCAAAACGAGGACAATGACGTAAGCTATGAGGCTGACGAACACCAGCCCAATCAGGGTTCCTTGTAGCCTGCAGATGATGGGCTTCTTTGCAGGATCCGTCAAGGGGCTTTGTGTTTCTAACCCCGCGAACGGATTGATATCGGCGACACACACCAGACTGCTGGTCAGGTAGTTGTCAAAGGACAAGCTGAGTTCTGCGCTCCACATGCATATGAAGACGAGATCTACGAGCGAGTACAGCAACTTGTTGCGCACTGCCCATAGTCCAATCGGCTTGCCAAAATACTCCAAGTAGATCTGCCAGCCGACGTGCAACAGTGTCGGAGGTCCGAAGATGATGGCGACTAAGGGACTTGACCCTACCGAGTCCGCCGCTGCTTGCTGCTTCAGCACCACGTACAATCGGATGGCAATGGCCAAGGTGGCGCTAGTGAAGCCGATGTTGATGAAGCGGAAGAGACCAGGAACGAATGCATTGTGAAGCAGAAAGTTTCTCCACCAATCGAGCCTCGGAGATGTGTCGTGCCTTTCCATTTTCTCCCCTCGTAGATCGTGACCACCAAAGCGATACCTACCGATTTCGATGGAGCCGCCAGAGTACGACTCGGGTCTCCATGGAGATTCCCAGCCTGGCGTGTGCGGTTGATGGCGCGTAAAGCTATCCTGGTGCACAGGGCCGCTCTTGATATGTGCATTCATGGTTGCATCTGGCAAATGGGGTGATGGCGCCTCATCGTTCTGCTCTTGGCCTCTCTTGCCGGATCGCGCTCCAGTGCTCGAGGGCCAGCGTCCTTCTTGAGACGTCGGACTCAATGGCGCACCGTCTTGCTTCAGCTCTTGGCTTCCCTTTGCGCTCTTCCTTCTCCACCCCATAAGCCCGCTCCCTGCTAGCTCGGCTGCACTCTGTCTTCCGGCTGCCCCAGCCACACCAGTTCCACTGGCTCTCCTGGATCTTTCTCTTCCACCGTCCAGGTGCTCCCCCTGATCGATGGAGCTGTCTCTGCTCTCTTCCTCAGTCTGTGCCTGAGTCTGCGCTTGAGAATTTTGCTGCATACGCAAATGATGCGAATGCAATCGCGCTCGGTATTTTGCTGGAAGTGTAAAGGTCCAGAACCGAGTGGGGCCTGGCTCGCCCGAAGAGCTGGCGCCGTCAGAATCATCGCTCTCGCTCCGAGGTCTGCCCACCTGAGGTGACTCGCTTGAGTCAGGTTTCTGGGGTGAAGCTGCCCCCCGCGCTTGTGGCTGTGCCTCCAGGCTGAGTTCCGATGGCTTTGCTCCATGCAAGGCTCGAACCGGTGGTGATGTAGGAGGTGAAGGTGGGTCATTGCGAGCCCAAGCTGAGTGTACATTGTCAACGTCAGCGCCTTGCTGTGTGCCGACTCTGAATACTGAGCATCACTTACGAGGCCTTGTGCTGATTTTGCTCCTATGCAGGGTTCCGTGAGGTGTCCCGCTGCTTGAGCCTTCAGCTCTGTTATCGCGGACACTGCTGGCGTAGCTAGTGGTCCCTGAAAAGCTCAGCTCGCTGCCTCTATGATTCCTGCCAGCGTGACTCAAGCCGAGTCCCAGTCCACCGAAGGTGTGGTTTGCTTGACCTGCGGAGGATCCCACGCCATTGGGCCCGGCCGCGCCACTTGTATTTCCGACAGTAGCCCGCTCCGCAGCGCTGTGCAATTTAGAGTGCTCTGAGGCTGGTGATGGGAGCCGATTGCAGCTCCGAGGTGGTGAAGATAGCAAGGAGGCTTCATCAAACTGTATATTGGAGGGTGCGTGATTCGCAGCACAAGCGCCATGCGTCGACCTGCCTTGGTCGGCAGAAGCAGAGGCGGCCGTAAGAGCGGCGGGCGCACCGTCCTGCGCGTCTTGTCCCTGTGACTTGGTATCCTCCACCTTCTTTGAGGGTCCAGACGAGGATGCGGATGAAGAAGTCGCCAAGGCCGAGACCACGTTGCTAAGAACGCTTTTGGGACCCTCGGAAGAGCCGCCGCTTCCCACGTGGGTCTTGACGGGCGCCGGCACCGCCATGATGACAGGCCTTCAGCAAGGTAGGATGACGGGAGTTCGAAAGGCAGGAGGATGGCAGCACCGAATGGAAGCGAAGAGGCAGTGTCAGAATCAGCCACCTCGAAGGGGCAGATCAAAAGATGCTCGTATAGAGAACACCAATGCGCGCAAGGGTTCGACACGCGGCCAGGAAGCTGAGGTGCCTGCGCAGATCTTTGTGTATTGTACGCGTGTAGCGTCTTGATTGATGGATGGTTGGACGCGCGCAAAGAAGAATCAAGCAGCACTCGTGAAAGGTTTGACGATTCTAGCCGTCGTCAGAGTCTCTGGTCGAATGGGAACCTATGCGGGCGAAGGTGGGATGAATGCAAGCAAGTGTGTGGTCGAATGCAGACGGTGCAGTCGAGTCGGCGCCTACCGCGAGGCTGCCCGAACAAACGTGGATGGATGTTGGGTGCGGGACGCAGCGAAGCGGGAATGAGCTTGTCGTCGAGCTCGCCCAAGAGTGTCACACTCTGATGATTTTTCGCCCTAAGGAAGAGGATGACGGAAGAATCGCGAACCCTGCCGCTGATGGTAGGTAGGAGGTAAGAAGTGTCGTGACATGGGTGCGTGTGTGTGTGTGAGAGAGAGAAAAGCGTGACTACAATTGGCGCCAACGTGGAACGCGGCGCAATCACAAGTTTGCAGAGTCTCGATCAATCATGCTCCGCGTTCAGACCTCGCCTGCGACAAGCTCATTCGGATGGATGCTGCATGCATGCAAGCAGCGATTCAGTGATCAATCTGACTTCACGCCCCGTCCTCATGACTAAGGAGCGTATATACACATACATTCCCGTCAGATTAGAGCCTAGATACGTGTATCCATGTCAAGAGAGTCAGGGTTCTCGAGTGTGACTAATGCACCCATTCACTGATCTACATTTCGGCCAGTTCCTCACACGGAGCACGGCGCGTTGACTATATAAGCACCTCGACCAAACACGTCTCATCAGAATCATCAGAGTCATGACTTGGACTCCGCTCCTCCTGGCGTCGCGCGTGCCCCCAGCAGTCTGAGTGAGCAGAGGCGGTGTTCGGCGGGAATGTGAATGTGACTTTTGACTTTCAGGGGTCCCGCGCAAAGGCGTGGCTTGTAGCACACCTGCTGCTGCGTCTATCCCTACCGGTACCTTACCTGCTGCTCGATGACGTTTGCATGCACTCAGCAGACTCAACATTCACGATTGTCCCCCTCCCCTCCCC